ACACACACACAGAGAGATGGATGGATGGATGCATGGGTAGAAAGAGAGAGAGAGAGAGAGAGAGAGAGAGAGAGAGAGAGAGAGAGAGAGAGAGAAACGGAAAGTGGGAAGGAACTACGGAAGCATGATGTACTACAAGGGCAATGCCTCTATGTAATGAGATACGGTGACGACAATTCCGTCATTAGCTGTACGTTGCCATGGCGAGGAACAAACTAAAACGTGCGAAGGATTTGGCGACAAAATAGCACTAAAGCTCCAATCAGCACGGAAATGACTTGCAATTTTACATGTGTCCGCGTTATGCATGGTTTACCCATCAGCGGGGTTCAGGCGACAAACACATTCGTGTCTGTAGATGCATACAAATAAATTTAACATTCGCGGTAATTTTCTTGCATTAAATTTGCAGGGATATGATCGTGTCCACTAGACATTTGCAGCTCGGTAAATTTAAAAGTGAGCATCATAAAATCCCGAGTGAATAAAGCAGATTGTTTTTATTCAATTCTGATAAAATGAATAGGGCCTGAATTTTAATTGACTTAGCATTCAATCTGCCCATTGGGATTTGCATGTCGCCGGTATGACCTAATTATTTATAGAGTTTATATGCCTGAGTTTATGTTTAAGGTGCTTATTAGTAGCACATAAACCGTGAGATTTTTGTTTGGCCCTTCATAAGAACCTATATAAATCTAGCGTAATATATTCAAGCATATGTCCGCGAGCGTATAGTACGTGCATGGGTGCGTACGTGTGAACGAACACGCGTGCGCGCGCGCTTGGGAACGTGCGAGCACGTACGTTCACGGGCGCGTGTGAGGTTCTTACGTTCAAATGGAGCTTTTCATAAGTAGTGATATACTATCAAGAGCGTATTAAGAAGGTTTCTTATTCCTTTATTCCTATTTTCCTTCTTTATACGCTCTTGATACTATAAACGGTAAAAAAGGTTAGTAAAACAAGACTACACAACCATAGACTAACAATATTGTTAGTCAATGTTGACACATGTTAACATTGTCCTTGTTAGGTTAGAGGATGTGACGCGTCGTCCGCTGACGACAAATCGGAGAGTCCGTAGCTCGGACACTAAAGCTGATGCGATGTTTTGTAATTGCATTATTTATTATTTAGGCTGGCTATCGTGTGTACGCATGCACACGGAGATGAGTGGATGGTTACTATAGTAAATTAAAAAGAATTCTCTTAAACTATGGTTCCTATTCGGCTGTGCGACTATTTTCCATGCACGAATATGCTGTCCGGGGCTGTCCGCGAGTACACTGGCGATAATATCGCCGGTCAACATTATGACAAAACTCTCATGGAACCATGCATGGAACAGAGCTGAAGTACATGGCTATCTAGCTTTAATACTGCCACTCGGCAGAAAACAGTCGAAATAATAATTTTTAGCTCATGAAATTCAGTTCTTAAGTATATATCTTATCGATGATTTAATAGACGTCTGCATGGGCGTAGCCGTGGTGGCGGTCGGCGCTCTGTCAGGCTGAATAAAAATTCGGCAATTTTTTAAAAACATTTGTGCATATTAATGACTGTAAGTGCGAGCCAGTTTAATGTTCATTTGTTTCTTCATGGCTACTGCTGGCGTAGGTCCAGCATGACTACTGCTATTACTAGACGTAACAGATAGAGATTTTCAATCTACATTTATCATGACCTGGAAAGAAAATGCCGATGAATAAGTCTGTGATTTCTGGTGAAATTGACGAGTGCATTTTACTCATCGGAACACGCACACAAGCAGGCTATGGGGACATTGTGGTGCTACCTGAAAACGCAAGATCAAAAATGGAGAACGAACAAAGTTCATAGACTGAAGTGCAGGCTCCATTTTGGCGCATGGCCTGCAAGACGAGAGCAATGATTGATGCCACAACAAAAATGGCATCAATCATCGGCACACCATTTTGGAAACTGCGCAGCTCCCATTTTGGAACGACGGGAGCTCGAACACGACGAAACATAAACGAACATAATCTAATGTCATTGTTCGACAACAGATGGCGCTGCAACTGGACAACAAACATTTCCACCGACACTCAGCACTGCAGACGACAAGGGACAAAAATAGAAGCACTGTATAATTAATATTAATTATCACATCACTCATCAGTGTATTTGACGATAATTTAATTACGATGTAAGTTCGAATATGGTAGTTAGGCATACTATAGCCTAAATCCCAAACGTACAAGTAGTTGCCAAATATTTAACTGTTTACAGCTGTAAATAAACAGTATTCACTATTCAGTAATGCCAGTAATGCACTTAGACCGAATAATTCTGTCCCATATGGCATATAACCTTTTTTTAATAATTTGGTGAGGGTTATTGGGACAGAACGGGGTGCATTGAAATTTCGTGAGATCGCATGCAAAATGCATGCGCTGCTAATGCGGCCCGTACGCCGCTATTGGCGCGAAAAAAAACCTACCGTTCCCTTCTACATGGCTTTACCTTGCTACTGATATGTGTATACATTCACTTCAATCGTTATTCACTTCTTAAAAGATTGTTTTTCAGAAACCCGGCTTCATTTAACTTTAGTAAATTACGTTCGCTATTTACAAACAATCAGACCAATCAGAGCGAGTCTTACAATAGCCCCTGGTTCTCGCTTGTATCTGTGGCGCTGCAGGAGGCCTGATAGACTCGCTCTGATTGGTCTGATTGTTTGTAAATGGCGAACAGAATTTACTAAAGTTAAATGAAGCGGGGTTTCTGATAAACCATCTTTTAAGAAGTGAATAACGATTGAATTGAATGTATACACATATCAGTAGCAAGGTAAAGCCGTGTAGAAGGGAACGGTAGGTTTTTTTTTCCACGCCAATAGCGACGTACGGGCCGCATTAGCAGCGCATGCATTTTGCATGCGATCTCACGAAATTTCAATGAGCCCCGTTCTGTCCCAATAATCCTCACCAAAATATAAAAAAGGTTATATGGGACAGAATTATTCGGTCTATAATGCACTGTGCAGGCACTCTGCCACTCATTGACTTTGGCGGTACGCTAGCTCTAAGCTCGTGTTCAGACTAATCTATCTTTATGCTAGGATGCGTTGGCCAGGGGCGTGTACAGTACTACAGGGGGGGTCCAGGGGGTCCGGACTTCCCCCCTGCTTGCGCAGAATGCCCATATATTTTTTTCCAATATGAATGAGAGAGGAACGCCTGAGTGCCCTAGTGTTACTCAATACATACAGAAGAGTAAACATCAACGTTGAAGACATTGTAAAACGGTTTATTCTCAAGAGGCCACGCAGAATTTTTCTAATTTGTATGAATAGGTCATGTTGACGTTTGAATTTTTCTTTTAAAATAATAAAATTGTCTAAGTAAAGATGTTAATGCACCAGACAAAAAATGGCATTGATGCACATATCGAGATGAAGTTATTGTGGTGTCAGATGCGAGGAAAACGCATCTGAGGGGGTCTAATTTTAAAAATTGGTGCTCGCAAGTTTGGGTTACGGTTAGACCCCCCCCCCCTGGTACAAATCCTGTACACACCCCTGGTTGGCATATAGTCTTTATTATAGAATGGAGTTAAGTATTTACTTAGGGAAGTTCGAATATCATACGGGTACTATACTGACTATCGTGTAAATAGAACGAATACTACAGTTACATTGTACTGTACTAGAGGAGGGTGACACATGTTATGCTAAACCATTTTTCTAGCTATGACACGATTTTGTAAAATATTAAGCCATAACATAGGACGTTGTGGTATATTATTATTATTATTATTATTATATATTATGCTATGTATTTAAAAATAAGTTTATTATTGTTGCAGAGCCAAATTGTAAATTACATTGGATGATACCAACTGGATTGATACCTGGATCAACTTGGGTCAATCAGATCAATCAGATCAAGATCTCTAACGAAATGGAAACTGGGAATGAAGAAATCTCATATTATCACGACAAGATATCAAAATTTGATGATCTGAATGCGAAATTGGATGAGATGAAAGACCAAATCATTAAGACCAATGGTATTATACGTTATTGCTCAGAACACGCAGTGAAATATTCTAGCAAATAGACCCTATCCAAGTACAGGATTTGCAAGTGTAAGACCAGGGCCATAGCTTACTAATTTTGCCTAGAAGGGCAAAGCCACGTGCAATCTAGGTAGTTGACTGTCGGCAGTCCGCCGTTGGGGCTGCTAAGTCCTAGAGGGAGATGGCCCCCTGTGCACCCTCCTCTAGCCAAGGCTCTGGAGGCATGCATGACTTAGCATTAATGCACATGTGATCATGGTACTGTTTTTTCAATGAGCCAGGTTACATTATGCATGAACACGTAGAAAGATACATTCACAAAGCTTTCAACTCACATTATGTGGCCAGAATGTATTAGAAAGCACTATTTCTTTTTTGTTTTGTTTTTCATTGTCACAATTTTTTTTACACGGGAATTTATGTGTCTATAGTGCCTTGGACACAATAGTCAATTGTGCTACATTTAACCTCCAATGCATTTGTATTAGTTTCTATAAGAGTTAGGGTTGAGTAAGAGTCAGGCATGTGATACTTGCAGTCAGTGGTAATATCCCCTTAGATGTCCTTATTTATAAATTTATTAATTTAAAGACAGTACATTTGTAACAGATATGTCAACATGAGCTTGCAAGCTCCTCATTGTGGATAACTTGTCCTAGCATAACTTCTAACCAGGGAGACTGTCTTTATAAAGCCATCAATTTCTGGAACCTTGATTTTTCAGTGAGATGTCATATGCTACATGTCGACCTAGTGACACAATTCAATCCACACACGCAGGAGATTGCTAGCCGACTGGAGCAGACTTGTGAGAAGTGCAAAGCAAAGTTAGACGCTGCCAGAGCCACGAACGGACAGTAACACACGACACGCAAACAAGTAGTTGTAAACAGATTTCAGATTTCTTTTATTGAAGAAATTTATAAAAAGATATGCAGATCCAATGCAGTTTGCTGTTTTTGTTTTGCAACATGCAAATAATTAAGTTACAGTTTTTAGTACGAGCACATTGATTCTTTATAGCTGGTTACATTCTGTACTTATACATTTGTTATATGGAAGCCTAGAAAATATTACATGGTTTAAAAAAATGAGCAACACTATTTATTCCCATTTAATAACTGTAAATGTCGGATGTCTTAACACGAAGAATATATAATTGTACATCCACACAGTGCAGAAAATCCTCTACCAGTTGGGTGTCATCAGATCCCATATGTGATTTGAGATAAAGAACTGAGAGTTCTGTTTTGTGTCAAGACTGAATGGTTTGATATCACCCTTCTCAGTGACATCTGGAAAGTCTAGTCAAGAAATATAATGTCAAGGTTACCAAGGTAAATGTATACATACCATCCTAATAGATATGGAACAGTAATAATATACAATAATAATAATAATAATAATAATATACAATCCAGTCTTATCCTAAAAGATCTGGAATCATCTTTTCAAGGAAACTGGCAACTCAGATTCTACTTTGCAGCTTTTACTATTGAGAGGAGGGCTGGCATCAACACCTATTCTTATAATTTCAATACTTGAGACATTTCTAACAAAATATTTAACCTGTGTAAGGATACAGCCTTTCGTTGTGTCGGTCGTATCAGATGTTGTCCATTTCACCTGAGTCATTAACTCGTACAACTTCATCTTGCCTCTAAAATAAAGAATGCATAACAGTTACACATTATGCCATCTACTTAAACCTTTGTTAAAAAACACAATTATCCTGCGTTAGGAATTACTTTAGGTTAAATTAAGTGATATTTATTAATCATATTAATCATTATAAAATACACTAAATAAAACCTAGTTGATGCACTCACACTATTGTCGGAATATCATCCCTAATCTGGGATTTTATCTTTTCTGTCTCTATCCTGATGTGCTCCAATTCTTCCTGTGCCTGCTTCAATGACGAACTGACATCTGTAAGCTTGATTAAGTAACATAAATAATTCCAAGTGCATATACGTTTATAGAGACCGGAAACGCAACTAATAATATTGAATAACGATTTTGTAGTTTAAGATAACTCAACCCAGCATTTCAGCAGTAGGGTAAACACAACAGCAAATATTCTTTTGCATTTCCACCAGATTTTAATTAAATGTTGAAAAGGATATTGGAATTTCTTGCTAGCAACTTTTTTATCCTCCTGCACATGTTTTAATTCTTCCTGCAGTGTTGAGTCATCTATTTTATCGGGGTTGGCATCGCCCGATATTTTTTCATTCCAATTATTGTTAACGGACAGGAGACCTGCAATAGATATATGAGACAAATTCAATACACAAGTTTATGCACACAGATATAGTATACAAATACTACATATATACAGGATTTCTATGATCTATAATACAAAATAACAATTGTAAATTAAAAAAGATCACTGTAAATGCCATTAGTTTTAGATAAATTTTAAAATATGCTTCTTTGAAGATTACTGATATGGAGAACCGAGTCTGCTATTATCGTATCATTACTACTATCAAGAGCTACTATTGTGAACACTACCACACAACACAAAGCATTACGTTTTGCTTACGCTCTATTTCAATCTTTATATCTTCCTGCATTTTCCTGTACCTTGTATCTTCTTCTTCCCAGGTTGCTTTGCGATCCAAAATCATCTGTAATTACAACACATTGTTTATGATTTCACATGGCCAGTTGAGTTGGGAAGTTAGGCATGCTGGGAAATGGCAATGTAAACATGCTAGATAATGAAAAGGTATAAGATTAGGATGAGTTAGAGCATGAACACAAGTGAAAAATTGTATGAATATTTATTTTTATTGAGACGTTCCAAGTGCCAGTGCTTCCAACAGTCTTGTACGTCAATGCACGTGCGTCAAGAGCCACAAACTCGACACAATTTCATCTCTGTTATTGCTGACGCCTGAATGCGTGATTGATCAGGGAGGGGTGCATGTAAGAGGGAGACATTTTCTTTGGGGTTCCGAAAAACACAATTCCACTTGACAATTTCATGGGCAATTTCAATTGAAAGCTCTGCATAATGGACCCCCAACAAGCCCTTTGACTGACTAGTCAAAAAATTCAAAGGTCTGTATATTGCTCTTATTTAGCCGCCGATAGTTCTTATTTAGAACAAAGTCTTCATTGTTATCTCAAATTACAGACCATCCGCTGACCGCTGTGGAGATGTGCGCCGGGCCTCGAATTTGGCGCACGTCTCCACTGCGGACAGCGCTTCATACTTGAACATCCCCGCGGTCGCGTGCGCATATCCTGCGGAACTGCGCGTCTCATCCGCGCGCAGCGCTTAGGATCAACAGCAAAGCTGTGCCACACAATCTTGTATCATGTCTCTCTGGATACAATAATGTAACCCAACAAAGTAGTAGACCAACCCTACTCTTGTTGGGTTTAATACATTGCATATATTATACTATAGCATAGGCCTACCTAGACCGAATAATTCTGTCCCATATTTCACCTTTTTTATATTTTGGTGAGGGTTATATTGGGACAGAACGGGGTTCATTGAAATTTCGTGAGATCGCATGCAAAATGCATGCGCTGCGAATGCGGCCCGTACGCCGCTAGTATTGGCGCGAAAATCTACCCAGTGGCAGTACAGTACACTAGCCTAGGCCTACCTCGCCCTCTTCCTTGCAATCTGTTAAGAGAGTTGTGACTTCCTGTATAAGATCATTCAAATGCGACTGATTCTCAGATGCCATTTGATTAATTTAAATGTTCAGATAACCCTGCCTTTATATACAAACTTACAAGCACTATTTATAAATATCAATTTTAAAAGCTAGCGCCAATGCTGTGCTCACTTGTTTATCCCGGAAACAAGAAAATGCGGAAAATTATTAGAATGCGGTTGACTATTTTGCTACTCACACTAATTTTGTAATGCTTATTAAAACTCTGAGATATATTTCTACATTTAAACCAGCAAACCCTTTAATAAAGGAATTATCAGACGATTATAAGATAACAAAATTGTTAGAAAAATTAGAAAAAATGAGACCAGGACGCACCTAGTGAGTAGACCGTGAATTAAAGATTTTCATGTCGGCGATTTGTTTGCGAAATGCTTTGACGAAACTGAAGTAAATAAAGGAAATTATATATGCGCAGCTGATAATAGCAAATAGTTAGTTGACGGATTTGATGGAGAGTTTTACAGGTCAGGGGAATAACTGTCAAATTTATAACATAGTTATGACACATTAGTCATTACTGACGTTAAAAAGTAGTCAGTAAATCACTGACACTAGCCTCTGCTACATGCGGCTAGCGACAGGGCGTCATCCCTATGTTACGGATGCGCGATTCACCCTAGCGGCGAGTTATGGAACTAAAACCATGTACAAGTACATGTGATAAACATGAATTTTACATTTTACCCTAACCCTAATCCTAACCCTAACCCTAATCCTAACCCTAACCCTAACCCTAACCCTAATCGCGCATGCGTAAACATAGGGATGACGCCCTGTCGCTAGCCGCATCTGCCTCTGCTCTAGGCCACTCGTAGATACAATAATGTAACCCAAACCCAAGAGGATAGGGTTACAAAGTGTCCCTATCCTTTTCTGCGGAGGAATGCCCGAGTGAATCACTCGGGCCGGTTTGCTGGTGCGTTTTCAGATACTAGAACTTCCAAACTGGGTTTATTCTAAACACGAACCTTTCTCCGCTATTCGGGAACTTACAATGTATCGCAATACTCTGTATTAAACTAATATAACCTGTTACAAAAATTCGAAGTGACGAGCGGCGAATATACTGAGCGCCCTCCGATTGGTCGGTGAATCCACTCTTCAAACCGAAGTACGTCACAGGTCAACAGAAATGGCGCTCAGTATATTCGCCGCTCGTCACTTCGAATTTTTGTAACAGGTTATATTAGTTTAATACAGAGTATTGCGATACATAGTAAGTTCCCAGATAGCGAAGAAAGGTTCGTGTTGAGAATAAACCCAGTTTGGAAGTTCTAGTATCTGAAAACGCACCAGCAAACCGGCCCGAGTGATTCACTCGGGCATTCCTCCGCAGAAAAGGATAGGGACACTTTGTAACCCTATCCTCTTGGGTTTGGGTTACATTATTGTATCTAGGCCACTCGCGGCTAGGGCCTGCATACCTCCCAACTCCCATTGGTTGATACAAATATAGTTAATTTTTTAAATTAAATTCTAAGTAGTGTTAGGGTTAGGGTTAGGGTTAGGGTCACAATGCACCAAAAAAGGAATTATTAAAACAGGAGTTTCAGGCACGTGATATGTATCAACCAATGGGATTTGGGAGGTATGCAGGCCTTAGCTGCGAGTCTCTAGGCCTAAATTAGTAAATCATTAAATATAATGTTTTACTTTTACTTTTAGTTTTCGCAGTGGCTACGCGTCCGGAACCGGTCGCCTAGCCTCGTCTTCTCTCGCTCTCTCTCTCTCACACACACACACTCGCAGCTCTCTCTCTCTCGCTCTCTCTCTTTTTCTCTCTCTCTCACACACACATACCTCTCTGAGGCTCTCTCTCTCTCACGCATACACATACACATTCCCATTCCCTCTCTCTCTCTCACACACACACACACACTGTCACACAAGGCAATCAGCAGAGCGTCCCGTTGCGCAATCATGCGTGTACGTGTCGCAAGCTCACTGTGTGAGATGGATGTCCGGACGCGTAGCCTAGTGGCTCCTCATCTGGAACCGGTCGCGTAGCCACGGCCTTTAGTTTTACTCCAACTTTTAGTCACGATTATTGTTTACGTTGTTCTGATAACGAGGTCCATCAAGACAGTTAGGCGGCTCAATCATTCATCTGTGTTAATTCTTCTAATCTGTCTCCACGCTGTACATGTATGTACAACTATACAGCTAGTAACTTGATAGGTTGTGACCACCTGAAGTTGAACTTCTGAAACATGCATGCACAATGTCAATGGTGGAGAATAACCCCCTTATGTATCTATTTATCTGCGTGTCTGTCTATCTATCTATTTATCTGCGTGTCTGTCAATCTATCTATTTATCTGCGTGTCTGTCTATCTATCTATTTATCTGCGTGTTTGTCTATCTGTCTATCTGCCCGCCTGTCTTTCTCTTCTCTCTTTCTCTTTCTCTCTCTCTCCCCTTCTATCTATAAACTATCTATTAATTTATCTATCTATCTACCTCTATTTATATCTATATACCTCTCTCTCCCCTGATAACTCTCTTTATCTGTATCTATATCTATCTATCTATATATTTATCTGTCTATCTTTCTATCGATCTATCTCTGTTTCTATCTATCTATCTACTCTTCCATCCATTCATCTATCTCTACATCCATCCATCCAATTTATCTACCTATCAACCATAGGGAATGAGATTAAATTTATTGAAGGAACTTCCTGTGCACAACTATACATTTTCCTTGGGGTCATTGGTTGAGCTCAAGAAGTTGTAGAGGTCTAGACATGAGGATCAATTCGGTGCTATCTTCAGACTTCTAATGTCACCTCAGATCATGGTTGAAAATTATTGTCCAAAAAAATCAGGGAATTTTTGATAAACATGATAATATTTCATGTTGTACTAGTTTAGTTTTACCAAATAGTTGAACACATTTGTCAGTAAACTGAAGAGAAGAATCGCGCCCTATAGTCTTTCTCTACAGTCGAGTCATTCTTATTCAAATTTCTACACTCCTACTTGGTAAATACGCAGCCATTCCCTTAACTTGCTAATAAAAGCTATTGAAAATGATGCCTGCTTTAGGAGCCATTTTATTATTTACGTATGTACAGTAAACACACCGGATCAGTCAAATTTATGGTGATAGTCAGTGCCTTTTCTAGCCATGACCATGAAAACTTGTTTTTTTCAGACCGTTGACAACTTTGTTTACTTTGTCCTCATCTGTAGACCTTGGATGGCATTGGCTATTTTGGCAGTATAGGCAGCATGATCCAACCTTACCAACCATTTTAGCGAGCATATACTATATTGAACCCAATATATTATAAACGAAACAAAGTACATTGTTACCCCATGAAATTTTCTCAGAATTCACTGGATTGCCCCAGGGAACTGTCAAATCCGTGGGTGTGCGGAAAATTACCATGTCTGATTTATCTATGTCTATCTATCTATCTGTTTGTCACACTGTCTAACTATTTGTTTGTCTATTTGTCCATCTAGTATCTTTTCTATTGTGAGATAGCAGAAGACTATAATTCTGCATTTATATTTGCCAAGTTAATATGAGGTGTTTTTACAGTTACATTATATATATTAATTAATGCAGAAGAGAAGAATAAGTAAGAATAAGTATTTATTCTTTAATGCATCTATTTATTTGGATATATGCATATTGTGCTTTTCAAAGATTTTGTTAAAAATTACAATGTAGGTTTTATTATATTACAGTTATTGCCACAAATCCAAATTTATTTTAATGAAATTGCATGACCTACTAATGGTGCTTCTCTTATGAATTTGCAGGTTTCTATGAGTGAGGCAGACGATTGATCTTTAGGTTGCAAGATGATGGAAATGTTTTCTTTGAACGTTGTGCTCCCAGTGGCTGGTATCGCTACTTTGATGTTTATTGTAACTTTAGTGTTCTGCTGCTATGTTTGGAGGTAAGTGTGGTACAGTACCGCTATTGTGACAACTTTTCCTTAAAACACTGTAACGACTTCATATCTGTTTTAAGTCTTCTTTCGTTATTAGAAGCACAGACAATGTTTTTCTTATTTTAATTAGTGCAGTTTACCTGAGACTAGGTTAAACAAGTATACCTTTAAATTTGCATTTTCATGGTAATTTTTTCACAACATGTCTCATGAAGTGATTCTTATGTCTCAAATACATGCAATAAGTGTGAAGTTTTCTGTTAAATATTACTATCACCACATAAATGATCATTGGACTTACAACATACTGTGTCTGTTATGCAAATAGACCGTTAATATCTTATTATCTGTGCGTACCAAGCCACCTGATGTGTATTTTGAGAGATAAAGAAAGTCTTGTATTTGTTAGATTAAACAAGATGGCAAACAGAGAGCTTGGATACAAGATGGTAAGTGATAAAAAAGCGAATTGTTGATTCCTATAAAGCCACACAAATGCAAATTCATGGCCTTACGTAACTCTTTTACAACTATTAATGTTTAATTGTAGTAGTTTATTTTGTACTATATAAAAGCATATAAACTTTTCTGAAAATAGTTTTATAATATATAGCTACTTATAGATTTAATTAGACAAATATTAAAGGGTATAGAGTATGTACGAGATTTAGTATGTATGTTGTACAGGATAGAGAGCATCATGCTGATGTTAAAAATAATTTTAATATGCCTACTCACAATTTTTTATAAACCAATTACGTTTATTAAACAGATACAATATAAAGGATTGCAGAAGAGGACAAAGAGTGATGTGAGTATATTCTGTTGAATAAGCCTTTTGTGTTATAACTTATATACTATGAAAGATAGTAAATGCTATTGTAAAGAAAGTTATGTAAAAAAAACCATCTCTGCCATTTGACTGTTTCTAGACTAGCCATAAGAGTTGGCACTTAAACGCCTGACTCATCTTACTTAAATGTCTTTACTTGTTTATTCAACAGATATGTGCAATATGTTTAGAAGACTACCGATGGAAGGAAAATGTAGCATTATGCAAGTGCAATCATGCATTTCATAAGAGGTTAGTAGTTACTAATAGACCCATTGTAGACTTCTCACCAGGGGGCAAATGGTGAAGCTTTATGAAATAAGGATAATGGAGTGGGGAAGTTTGCCATGTCAATAAATATATTGAATGAAATTGCGGTATCATTGTTGGAGTACACATTTCGTTTGCAGCCAGTATAATTATTAGTTATTTAACAGATTATAAGGTAGTGAGTCGAACCCTCCAAAGACTTGCAGTAATTGTTAGCTGCATTTGCTGTTTCCAATAGTTCACTACTAATCCACACTACCACAATTTCCAGATGTCTAGAAGATTGGCTGTACTTGCGAAATACGTGTCCGGTGTGTAAGACGACAGTCCGGGCGTTCATCCGGTCATCACAGAAGCCGCTGCGGAGACCTCACTACACACAACACGAACATGAGCGACAAGTGGCTACCGCGGAGCGAGCCATGCAGGTGGAGCCACCGTCGCCAGCGGAAACGCAACCGGTCCTTCATTCAAACGTGCAGATAGAAGTCGTATGAGCGGGAAATGTTTTTATTGCAATTGTTATCGTATTTCCAAGCAGCACCTGGGTTTGTCGAGTGAAATACCTCGATGGGACGCGTCCGAGGTAAACATGTAGACGGTTACATGTATGGCAACAGTTTGTTTCACCCATTTTGGGAAAAATAAGTTTATACAGTATTACTGTCACATACATTTAAATGTCTTTGTCTGGAGTTGTTTCAGTCAGTGGGACTGTTACCTTCGTAATAATTTGTCTTGATAATTACTTTGTATGACAAGTTGCAGAAAGTGTGTGGATGCTATTCTATTCAATACATACAATACTTTATATAATTCTACATTATAAAATAATAATTATTTTGCCAAATTATATCAGCCATAATTTATTTCTAGTCAGTATCGAATTGAATCCCGAGTAATTATTTTTTAAGTGTTTTTCTTGTATTGACGCCTTGTATTATCCTATATTATATGTCTTTTGTTGTTTAGTATACACTCGAAGTTGGTGTTTCTTATAATGTGCATGCTAGGTCAGCACAAGCCAACCTACCTAAAGCTGGGTTTACACTACCAACTTTATGTTGACGAATTGGACCAATTTCGCAATTCGGCAACTCCGAGTTGGTGAAAATAGATCATGTTCTAATCTCCAACTAGTTGCTATCGATCGGTTGGTCGCGCAACTTTTGCGTTTACACTGCCGATTGTTGGTTGTATAGTTGGGAAGTTGGTCCAATTCGCCAATTTGCCAACACAAAGTCGGTAGTGTAAACCCAGCTTAATACCAAGTCTAAATATCTCGGGCATCTCGGCTATATCTAGTGATTAGGAATCGATACATTTGTTAAACGAGGAAACCCAAATGAGCAAACAAGTGTGCACACGTACGCCTTGTCGAATTCTATAAGTTTATTAGTTCAACCTGGCTCATGGTAAAATCGTTTTAATTTTGGTAATTTAGGGAAGGAAAAATGACACTGTTATGTGAGATCGCCTATTGTGATTACTGAACACAATTAAAAGACAAGAATATCGTTAATGATGGGATTTATTTTTCTCATCTTTCCAAACCAAAGATTAGAGCAACAAAATTGTATGGTTGTCCCTTTCAGCTATATACTAGGTATGGCCATTTTATGTTCAATATATTAAGCTGGCTCCAGGAGATTTCAAATTTGTGATTAATCACCTGACGATATGATGGACATCTTGTATTTATAATTAGTTATTGGGATTACCTCTTTCTAATTATAGTGTTTACTGTCACTAGCAGTGAGAGCATACATCTAGAGCTGCCTCGGAAATTTCTTTCTTCCATGTACATTTTGTATATCTTCACCAAGCTCTGTATCCTATATCGGCATTGGTAATAAATAGTTACTACCTGTTACTTAATCTTGGTGCCACTATGATATAACTGATATAAGGCACTGGACGGTATCAATTGATGGTAATTGCCAAAATCTATGCAATGAAATTATTGGTAGACGTGCACTGCATGCATATCTGTTCCCATATAATTAAGTGCTCATTAACATTATTATTAGTTAGTGTTAATTGCCTCCTGATTTAATACACTGGTAAATATTTTCTTTAGCATTTCTACTCATATTGTGCACTTTGGAGTTTGAAGTGTAAGTAAATGGTATATATAGCTCTTGATATATATGTATACATACATACTAGTGAGTTCCCACCCAACCGGCCCCTTACTATCTGCCGTGAAAGGTGGCAATTGTCTTGTTAGGCGTTTACGTTTACATGATACGCGTACAAATACGCGTTACAAATACGTGATACACGTTTTTGATGGTGTATCATTCTGTAAAGTTGCTGCGTACAGCTACATTCGAAGTGGTACTTTCAACTTTGACGAAAATCAGGTTTTATAACTACTTTCTCATATGTTGTGATATGTTGTGATATGTGATGTTTCATGTTGACACACTGTGAATTGGGGCTGTCAACTGTGGTCTGGCAGTTAACTGCCTAACCCTACCACACATGATCTGCAGGGAAATATAATGGAAATAAATGGTTCTACTTAGAAAGGGAAACTAATCCCAGAACGTTCTAGGCAGGTTACATTAAATTTGTGATCTTTACTTGACAGGGAATTTCAGTTCAATATGTTACTGTATTCGATTTTTTAAATGCGAATGAATACCAGATTTTCAAAGTTAAATACAGAAAGAAAGCATCGTCCTTATGAAAAACGTAATTTGTGTTCATTTTATCTGTATGTACTCTTACTACCGGTACTGTTATTAACAAAGAAAGCTCACTCAAGTATGTATGGTTTTATGTTTATGTTTTTTTTATATGAATATGCAATGATATACAGTGAGGAGAAAAATTAAAACCAATACCATATTTATATAGACATTGACTAAAAAAGAAGTTTTGTTTTCATTCACTGTCCCGGAAAAATACTGGAACACAGATATTGCTGCAATTGCGAGGAGTCCTTTTTTAGCTCATCTGAACGATAGCTCAGTGCAGTTGTAGAAATCGCATTGATACGATCCAGTCGCTGTTCGCGCGGTCGTCCGTCCGTCTCGAGCGTCCGTCCGTTGCGTCAACAGTTCGACACAAATCTTAAATCCGGCTCGACCGTACGGTCACGATATCGGCACCTCCTGCGGGCCGTAGGGTGTTCAACACGAGTTGGGATTGTCTCAAGCTGAGGCGGTCAAATGCGTCAAAAGGTCAACGCGGTGTAACAAGAAGGCGGGAACATTCACTCGGCTTAACTTAAAGGTAGTAGGGAGACAATGCGAATGGCAATGGCACAAATCTAAACGCGCATCCTGACCTAGGCTCGTGATAGTCGGTGTGTCATATGAGCAATCATGGTAGGAAAGCCATCACTGTGCCGGAAATCTGGAGTCAAGGTCAAAGGTCAGTGGGCACAGGGCAGATTTAGACATTTTTCTGAGGACATGGTCTGACGGACCCGCATTGAAAACACCTCTTATTGTGTCTTCAGCCCGTGACTGACCCTTAGCATTTTTATGGCTCCTTATGTGAACAGGACATGGAATTGTCCTTCTGCTGACATGGCGAAGAGTAAGTTCGGATTAACCTTTTTGACCCTTCAAGAGGAGGCTTAACCATGGTATCTTGTTCACTTGTCACCACCAAGGACTGAACTGCTTTGCTAGTAGAATCCCCTCCCCACCTCACCCACCCCCTCCCTACCCTCCATCTGGCAGTAGTGGGCTGTTCCTAACCATGCATGTAGGTACGCAACTGGCGTGTCGTGCCAGTATCTGGGCGCCCTAACACAATGTACGTACATACGCACGACTGATTCCCTTACCGATTATCAATCGTAGGCCAACAGACCTACAGATGAGCCAGCGCTCTGCGACTCTTGTTACTAAAATTGCAAGACATTGAAGGTAGGCTCGGTATAATAGCTAGTCATTATAGAAAGGGAATTTACTTCTGCAAACTCACAATTTGATTAACAGCAACTCACTTTAATAAACTGATTCTACATACCCGTCATATAACATGACAACACCGGCAGCCAGCAGCAGCAATGCAGCCAGCAGCGCAGAGTAGCTAGCGCTTGAACGCGGGTCAATTTATGTATCAGGTACTACCAGATATGTACCCGAGGTACATATATGTTCGTAATAATGTCATTACCAAAGCTTGTACCAGACTATGTCACTACAGAATTGTACCCTAACCCTACTTCCCGTAGCCTACCATACACCCTAACACTAACCCTAACATACCTCATATTACAAATAGACCAACATAATACTGAAACACCTAAAAACTACGTCGGTAACATATCTGTAGTACCTGATACGGACAACGACCCTTCTGCAGTTAAGTAGCGCGTCAGCAAGTAACAGAACGATTGCAGTGAATTGTGGTAATAGTTGGGCAATTAGGGTGTTACCATGCCCAAAATATTCTTTATGTTTATTAAGATTCAATTATTACACAAGAAGCTCAAAATATAGCAACACGAATTTAAGTTTCGAAGTAATTCGGGTTATGCACGGATTCCAGAGACCAGGTCACAGGCCTCAAAACATTCACCAGATGCCGAGCCAAATATAGCCTAATTTTTTAAAAAGTTCAGAGGGGGGATGCGCCCCGGACCCTGACCTACTGCAAGAAGAACATATGGAAACTGGATTATCCCCGTGATCTGTTAGAAACAGCATTATTTTTTACTGTTGAAAATGTTGAAAAGCAGTTTATTTTTACTTGTGAACTGTAACAGTACCCCCCCCCTCAGGATATTGCATGCAATTGCGAGGAGTCAGTTTTTTTACTAAAATTCACGACAATGCGTGAAGCTAGCATCTGTATAAGTGTCATTAGGAAAGGATTACTCTGCGACCTCCAATTGATTATTATAATCAACGTTATCAACCGTACTATACAGGACCAAGAGCAGACAGCCAGCAGCGAGCAGCAGCAGTAGCGCCTGAAGGAGGTCAGATTAACGTAAGGGACTTGTATACAGAAATTGTACCTACCCTATTCCATTGGCCGCTAACGCTAAAGCCACTAACCCTAAGACATACCTCATATAAAAATAGTAAACATGAAATTATGCTAAACAACCTAAAACTACCTCGGGTACATATCTGTAGTACCTGATACGACAACAACCCCATCTGCAGTAGTAGCAGCAGTAGCAGTAACAGCAACAGTGCAGTGAAATTGTGTAATAGTTGGGCAATAGGTGTTACCATGCCAAATATTCTTATTTATTAAGATTAATTATTACACAAGAAGCCTCAATATAGCAACACAATTTCAAGTTTCAAGTAATTTTTTTAGTTTACTACAAATATAAGTTCTTTAAATGAAAAAATACACAATATAAATAGATAGGTATAGTAACATTACTAAACATTATTAATACTCTGGTACTGTCTGCCCAAGATATGTGTATTGATATGTCTCACTTCTTCAGGCCGGCTCATTTGAAAATAAAATATAGAGTGCGTTCTGTTTTGTTTGATGACATACCAGCTAAAGGAAATCGCACACACGGTACACAAAAACCCAATACACAGAGAGGCAAATAAAAGACCACCATCCCGGTGCAGAATGTTTCCTGTTAGCTCATCGGCATAATCGTCTGTCGAGAAACACAACACAGTTACAATAAATATTCCTGAGCACAGAGAAGAAAGGATGTTGCCGATGAAAACTGAATTCTCGTATACAGCATTGCATAATGGACGATTCTGAATCTGACTACACGATATACCAAATATGCGTCGAGTTATCAGTGATACTAGGGTTCCAACAACGAGCGCAGTAGAAATGGCAATAGACGCTGCTAGAAATCCAAAGGGACAAATCTTTCCAGTTCTTCTTCTCTCTGTGCTGTGCCAGCACAATTGTGAAACACGCTCTGGAGTATAAACATTGGTTTGCGATGGTTTCTGTAATTTTTTGCCGTAGGGCTTTGAAGGTTCAGGAGTTGTAGATGCACCTGGCAAAGCACAAGTCAGCCACCATGTTTTGGTGAAGCTGTCGTGAACTGGAGTTACATTGCTGCATAGATTTGGTAGTTTCACTGGCAATCTTACTTCTGGTATCTTGTCCCCAGCAGTGGTAGCATCCCAGTCCTGTCTATCCGTGCTGCTGCTGCTGTTGGTGTCATTTCGCAGGTCTGGCGGATTATTTGTCACGATCACAAACACGAGTAGATTGCAGCCGAGTGATGCCATTGTAAAAACGAGGGCCAACAACTGCAGTGTTAGTCTGTTCCATCCTTCCAGGCTCATCCCGAAGCCAGATGATGCTCACACGTAGAATTCAGAGCAATTGCTCGCGTTCTAAACAATAATTGGGAAAGACATGATGTTCATTTTACAACAACAAAAACACTTTCTACAGTTAAAACAAAATTAACAATATTAATATTCTTATTTGTTGAAATGACTGTAGCACCACATCGAATAGCCTTTCTATGAACTGTGATCATGATAATTGTTTTTAACATTTTCATCATTTATAGTCAGAAACACGCCAATAGTTTGGTTTGACATTAACAATGTAAATGTACCTGTACTAGACTGCTGTATAGGTTGTGGTTATAATTTGGAAACATGTGCATTCTAGCAAGAGCTCATAATAGAGAAGAGTATGACACCGTTTTAACAGCGTTTGGCATAGTTTTCAACTTGTAAATATTCTATCAATATGTGAATAAATATATTCAAACTTTACATTGTTTTCGTCTATGATTCTCCCTTAATCATATGACACCACCAATTTACCTGAAAATCGTATGTTTTCTTCAAAAAAGTTCTTTGAATACAACACAGTTTCACACAGTTTTCCCAAATGATCGCATGTATTCGGCACAAGTTGATAATGCGGCGGCAGCACCAGGTTGTAACTACGAGATGCTGGGGGCTGTTGGGGATATTATTTAAGCACCTGTAACAGCACTTGTTTTGCTTCCTTATCATCAGGAACACGATGGCAACACAGCTCAAATCAGCTGCTAGCTCGCCGTGAGACACACATTTATTTCTAGCACACTGGAAACGCTACACGCTGAATACAATTCGATGCCTAATATCCCCAACAGCCCCCAGCATTCCGTCATAGACAACAGAACACTAATCCGATAATAAACTTGCACCGAATACATGCGATCATTTGGGAAAACTGTGTCAAACCGTGTCGTATTCAAAGAACTTTTTTGAAGAACACATACGATGCAGAAGTGACAGGGATTTAAGGTTAAGCACCAGTATAGTGCATTTAGCCCTATATGGAGTTCCATATCCTCGTGTACGTTATGTGCTGCTAGATGGCAGCACCTGGTAGGAAATTAGGAATGTCACTGTACAGGAGGTGTACAACAGTAAGCTTCCGCAATTGTTCACCGTTGCACTATTTCGTCTCTAGAAAATGCCTTTTTTGGCATTTTTTTTCGCAGAAATTCGACACTAGATTGCAATAATTTGCATTATGCACGCAAGTTAGATACCTCGTGGATGTCTAGAAAGCATTAGAAGTAAAATTATTCTTGTTGTGTACTCGTGACATTCTGTCAGGTGGCGTAGTCACAGTCACCGGCTGGTGATTTTTGTGTATGAAATGTGTTCAGACAACTTTGCAGAAATTCGCGTCATAGAGCTGGCAAAAGTTTCGAGCGGAGCATAGAGCATGAATCTGTCGTTATTTAACATGAATAAAATGTATGTTTTGTAAGTGCAGTAACAGTGTGAGTATTTGTAATTAATTTCTGTTCGATGCTTATTCAGGCCTGCCGCCTATGGACGCCCTCTACTGTTGTTCAACACCTACATGCGGCTAAACAGAGGAATTGCTCCGACCTGTGATTGGAGGATAAAAATAGAATTCGTGACGTTTCTCAAGTCTGTCAATATATGACACACACACAACTCGATTGATAACAAAACCTAATCTAAGGGGGTGAGGGAAGTAGCGTGCTGTTGCATATTCAATCCTCCCCTCCCCGTCTCTTTTCTCGTCTCTCCTCCCCCTTCCCATGTGCCGGGCTTCATGTGTCAAAACGTCACATAAACTGATGTTTTTGCGCTAACCAGAGGTTGGAGCAATTCCTCTGTTTAGTGATGCTGCCAGTCAGCGGCTATACCGTAAACGGAGGAATTGTTCCGAATACAACACGAACGCTACTTGAACAAGACGCTCTTTGCGAAAGTTAGCAAATATTCAGAGAAGCCTCTATAAAGAGAGTAAACGTTGTAATATTTTGAAAATAAACTATCATGTAAGTATAGACAGTGAGATATCTAATACTGACAGTCTTTAGAAACGTCACAAATTCTATTTTTATCTTTCAATCATGGGTCAGAGCAATTCCTCTGTTTAGCCGCATGTCGTGTCGACTGTTAGTCGCCATTAGGGAACAATTCCCTCACCAGTACTCACATCAATCAACACACACGACACAACATGGCTCCAAATCACGCTAAACTCAGAGAGCCTTTCGAACTCTAACAGTAACAGTGACATTCCAACCAGGTGTTGCCATCTAGCACCACATAACGTACACTAGGATATGGTACTCCATACATCATACATGAGGCCCAAGGATAGAGAACATGGGTCCCAATAAAACCAATGTGCCTAACCCTAACCCTAACAATAACAATAACCCTAACCATAACCCTAACCTATTATATTGGGCCGAGACTATACGCACGGCGGCCGTGTGGATAAGATTCAATATGGCTATACGCACGGCGGCCGTGTGGATAAGATTCAATATGGCTATACGCACGGCGGCCGTATGGCCGACTCCAATATTGGCTAGGAATGAGGAAGGGGAGAAGGGAGAAGCTGGGTGGAGAAGGAGGAGGGGAGAAACTGTGGAGAAGGAAGAAAGGGGAGAAGGGAGTGGTGGAGCAAGAGGAAGGGAGAAGCTGGTTGAGGAGGAAGGGGAGAAGGGAGAAAGGTGGTGAGAAGGAGGCGGGGAGAAGCTGGTGGTAAGGAGGAGGGAGAAGGGAGAAGGGGAGAGGGAGAAGGTGGTTGGAGGAGGGGGGAGAAGGAGAAGGTGGTGAGGAGGGGGGAAGGAAGAAGGTGGTGAGGAGGGGAGAAGGGAGAAGGTGGTGAGGAGGGAGAAGCTTCGGTGGAGAAGGAGGAAGGAGCGAAGGAAGGGAAGAAGGAGCTGTTGACGGAGGAGGGGGAGAAGGGAGAAGGGGATAAAAGAGGGGGAGAAGGGAGCTGGTGGAGGAGGAGGGGAGAAAGGAGAAGTGGTGGAGGAAGGGAGAAGCTGTGTGAGAAGGAGGAAGGGGAGAAAGAGAAAGTGGTGAGGAGGAGAGGAGAAGCTGGTTGGAGAAGAGGAGAGGAGAAAGCTGGTGGAGAAGGAGGAAAGGGGAGAAGGGAGGTGGTGACGAAGGAGGAATAGGGAGAAGCCTGGTAGAGAGGAGGAAGGGGAGAAGAAGAAGGTGGTGGAGGAGGGGAGAAGCTTGGTAGAGAAGGAGGAGGGGCCAGAAGGGAGAAGGTGTTGAGAAGAAGAAGGGGAGAAGCTTGGTGGAGAAGGAGGACGGGGAGAAGAGAGAAGGTGTGGTGAGAGCAAGAGGGAGAGAAGCTGGTATAGAGAGGAGCGAGGGGAGAAAGGAGAAGGGAAGAGGGGAGAAGCGGGTGGAGAAGAGGAGGAAGGGGAGAAGGAGGTGTGGAGAAGAAGAGGGGGAGAAGCTGTTGAAGAAGGAGGGGGATGAAGAAGAGGGTGGTGAAAATAAAGAGGGGGAGACGTGTGAGAAGGAGAGAAGGGAGAAGGAGACCAGGTGGTGGGAGGGAGAAAGGGAGCGGTGAGGAGGAGAGACGAAGGGAGAAGGCTGGTGGAAAGGAGGAAGGGAGGAGGGGGAGAAAGTGTGGAGTGAGGGGGAGAAGGGAGAAGGAGGAAAGAGAGAAGGAGGGGGAGACAGGGAGCCTCCTCTCCCGCCTCCTTCTCCCACACCTCCTCTTCTCCCCTACTTCTTTCTCCCTTTCCTCCTATCTCACCAGGCTTCTGCCCTCCTCCTTCTCCACTCAGCTTCTCCCCTCCTTCTCCAGCACTCTCTCTCTTCTTCCTCCTTCTCCACCAGGCTTCTTCCCCCTTCCTTCCTTCTGCCTTCTCGCCCTAGCCCTTCTCCACTAGCTTCTCCCCTCCTCTTACTCCATCAGCTCTGCCCTTCCTCCTTCTCCACCACCTTCTCCCTTCTCTCCTTCCTCCTTCCCACCAAGCTTCTCCCTTCCCCCTTCCTCATTCCTGAGCCATATTGAGTCGGCCATACGGCCGGCCGTGCTGTATAGCGGCATATTTGAATCTTATCCACAACGGCCGCCGTGCGCTATAGCCATATTGAATCTACTACACGCCGCGGTGCGTATAGCCACATTGGTCGGACACACGGCCGCCGGGTGACGTATAGCCATATTGAATCTTTCCACACGGCCGCGCGTGCAATAGACACATTGAGTCGGCCACACCGGCCGCCGTGCGTATAGCCATATTGAATCTTATCCACACGGCCGCCGTGCGTATAGTCACTTCCATTATATTGATATAATATATTTATATTGATGTAAATGACATTGGTTTTATTGGGACCCATGTTCTCTATCCTTGAACCATACATGATACAGCTAAACCGACTACTACCTACTATTACTAAACGCATTAGCCTACTGGCGAAGAGTAAATAAGAGTAAAATAGTGGGGCAAAAATGCGTTAACTCAGTATTTTTGTAACTTCACACACCTTTGTGCAAACATTGTTTCCCCATGATATCATGCTGCTGGGTGTGATTTTAGGGAATGTAATGTACACTCTTGGCTACAAGAAATGATTGCGTACTTTCTCTCTTGGAATGGAAGTTGGAGTCTTGCAGACTGCAGTGGCTGTGTAGCGCAAATTGCAGTTATACTTCTGCAGGAAATGCAGCGTAGCTGGAATGTGGAGGTTGTATAGTTTATGAGGTAGGCTGCGTGCATGACGCAACACACTAACCTTCTAGACTAAGGTGCTAAATCATTATACCCAGTGCCACATCAAAACAAAAGCAAATACTTTACTTTTTGTTTAGTCGTGTATGGCGCCATGGTTGATGTTGTGGTGCCCTCTATTCCATAAATAAATTATACTCTCGCTAGAGATCTATGGTTATAACTTATATTCTGTTTAATTCTCAATAGAATCATAAACGTAAACATTAAATATAATGGGCTGAATTAAAAATTTAGCTGAAAATTTTGATAAAGGAAGTTGATTTTGATAAAGCAGAGCCAAAACGTTACGCTCGTTACGTAAGCGACCTCAAGGTCACGTGACTGTTGCCATCAAATAAATCATAGAAGAAATCGATCAGTGACTGAGATTTTAGGTTGCTGATCACAATTGTAGAATATGGGTGTTGTCGCTGCATTTATAGTTCCGACGCTAGTATGGGCACTAGTAGGTGCTGGCGGACCTTGGGTTGTACCAAAAGGACCTAACAGAGGGTAATTATAAGTCTATCATTTGGGCTCAACTCACTCACTGGCAGCAAGAACAAGTCCGCTTACGCCCCAGCACACACGACGACATTGATATATATATATACTACTATAAGTATAGTACTAGTAGTATATATATATATCAATGTCGTCGTGTGTGTGCTGTAGCTGCAGCGGACTTGTTCTTTCTGCCAGTGAACTCACTGCCTTGAACCTTGGTTCGATCTTGTCAACTCAAGTTCCTTCATCAGTTCATGATCATCGCCATCGGTTGTTTAATCCTCTATCTGGTATAACCTCATCCCTAACCATAACTAACCTAGTCCTAAGTTCCTAACCATGTCAGTGTATTTGCAACTTAGCAACATTATTAGTACAACTACAAGCGGATCAATATACCGTATACGATTCTGCTAGGTTTAGTGTAGATACAATATTTAAAACGGTAATGTATTACCCAACAAGAGTAGGGTTTACAACGCCAGCCTATTTCTTTTCTTTGGAGGAGCCTGTGAGTGATTCACTCAGGGCAGTTTTATGGTGCGTTTTTCGAGACTAGAACTTTCAAACTGGGTTTCCAACTCGGCTATCTTATATATACAAGAACCCCAAATACCGTCTATGGTGTGGTGGCGATTTCCGTTAGTCCAAGACTAGTAAAAATTCAGAAGGACTAGTAGATTCCCATAGCAGTTAGTCCGGCGGACTAGTTTATATTTTCCCCGTCACTCACCGTCCCAATTTCCCATCGATTTTTCCGGCGGCAGCGTCTCTCATCCAAGATCCAATTTTCGTCCCATTAACAAGTTTTTCCCTGTTGCCGCTAGTCCAATTGTAGAGTAGACGCTAGCACGCTCTGCACACTCTAAGCATTGCTAGACCCTACAGCCAGTACAAAACATTGTTTTAAACAATCGGCGCAACGAACCCCAGTCTACCAAATCGATCGCTTGACAGCTTAGCTGTTGACGATAGCGAACAAACGGTCTGCATTTGTAGAAATGACGCAACTAATCAGTTTATAGGCTTTCTCATAGGGAGGTATTCACACATCGCAACCACATCGCATGCGCTGTGTGTACTTGAAGCCAGTCTATACAAATAGTAGTTGAAGCTAAATAGGTTAGTACATCCTTATCCAATAGTATAAATTTACTAACATTCAAGGTTGTTATGCTGAAAGTATGTTGAGACGCGCGCGCTCACCCTCCAGACCTCCCAAAACGTAAATCGCCAGGGATGGAGAAATTAGATGCCAGCGTGGTACTATGATAAGACGAAAGGATGCGTATGCGTTTCCAGCCACGCGTGGAAATCGTTTCATACCCGTGCGCTTAGAGTATGACCCAGCCAAGGGTATGACCTGGTGCGTGCAGGCTGGTTATTTTCTGGTAGTCTTTTTCACCGGCACTACAAAACTATCGTTTGGAAACTTGTTCTTAAAGCGGCATGATGCTTCGAGGGCGCAACAGAAAGATCCTAGCAAAAAGAAATGCAAGGACCATTGCCTGTTCACGAAACAGTGGGGCCAAGCTGACCCAGAAGCTGAGTATTGAAATGGTGTCCGTGTTGGCCGATCCAAAAAGAGGCTGATGAATGAAAGTGCACACGCACGTCTCCTGTACGCTGCACACTGCACGCACACACTGTACGTGCAACACGCGTGCACACACGCACCCATGCACGGCTTCGCGCACGTGTACGTCGCACACGCACCCACGCACACGTGCACGCGCGCACACACGCACCCATGCACGTGTACGTGCACACGCACCACGCACTCAGCGCGCACACACCGTGTACGTTGCCACGTACGTTGATACATGCACATTCAGGCACTGTCGTACGTGCACACGCACAGCCCGCACTGTGTCACGGTGCACAATGACGCACACACACTACACACACACGTTGTACGCTGCCTAATGCACGATGCACGTGTACGTGCACACGCACCCACGCACACGCGCACCGTGTACGTGCACACGCACGCACACGCACGTACGTGCGCACGCACACGCACGTACGTGCACACGCAGTCATACGTGCGATGCACGTACGTGGCGCACGCCACCCACCGGTGTACGCCTGACCACACGCCCCACGCCAACGCGTACTGTGTACGTCAGGGCTCGAATTATGCGACGAGAAGGGCAAGGCAATTTTAGCGGCATAGTGAGAAATCGCCTTGAATTTTCTCTAAAATAGAAAGCGCACCAGGCAGTACTCTCAAATGTTGATAAGGGGCACCTAAGGCACTTTTTGTAAAATTAAAGGCGAAAACTCAAACAACATTAGTACATCAAACATCGTCTGCCTTTTTAATGTACAAAACGAATATCGCCTCCCATGTAAGCTTGTACACCGTAACACTGAACCCTGCTACCCACTCTGCTAATGCGAAGTACAGTAAACAATGAATATTTTACATGCCTGCTATCAGGAGCAAATAATTATCCGTATGCTGTTATCTCATTCCCTCCTGCCGACTATCGGTATTTTTAGCTCATCACTTGCAACTACAGCACGCGACGCGCACGTGTTATGTTGAATTTCGTTACTAATAAACAAACTAGGGCAGTAGCATTAAAGGCGCACCGACCGGCAATTACACAAAAGGGCATAGGCAGGTGACTGCTCGTCGTCGGGTGGATTTTCAGGGGGCAGTTCCATCGGCGATGCATAGGGGCACCGACGGCAATTGCCGGTCGGTGGCCGTCGCGTTAGATTCGAGCCCTGGTGTACGTGCAGATCAGCTTTCCTCCCTGATTGTCTGCCCACTTCTACTTTGCCAACTCTGATTTCATTCATTTACGCGTTTTTTCCTTCGTAATACCTAGACGCCATTGTTTAGCAGTGATTACGGACAGTGCCCGCGGCGCCATCTAGTCAGCGATTTTATAAATGCGAACCCATTATGAAATGCACATTGCTACTTGGAAAAAACGGGCAGGCTCCTACACCGATTACGTCAAGCTGTGCCAGCTTGAACAAGGCCAAGGGGTTTAGATGTCGGCAGCACTTACCTCACCGACACAGGTCCTGCAGCAGGTTTCATTATGGCGATAGCGATTACAGCGCCGTCTGGGAACAGTTTGTAGCTATTAAATGAGGCCAAATTCCTTGCTGTGATACAGTGACGGATCCACAGATTCCTCGATCAAAAGGAGGCGAAATTTTTATTTTTCGAATTAAAATTTAATTTAATTTAAATTTTAATCTTATGATCCATAGTCAAAGTTACATGTATTTTATTACATTTTGAATGTCTTTTACAAAAACCTTTTTTGGGGACACCCCTTTTACCCTGGGAGAGGACCCCCTGTACCCCCTAGCCAGAAAGGGGGGCTCCACCTCCTACACCCACCCTACCTCCTTGGCAAATCTCACGAACTTCTCAGTCGCTTCTTGCCGCCTAGTAAGAGTTCCTTCGGCAGACTAGTAGAATCTTGGAAAGCAGACTAGTACATTTTTTCTTTTACTAGTCCTGTGGACTAATGAACTAAAATGGTTAGTGTCTAACCCTGGCTAAACAAGCCAGGTCAAACCGAGGTCAGGGAGACATAGACCCTACGGGCTTAATTCTCAGATGGGTGGACGGAATGACCCTGCTGCCCCCTGGTTATGGCAGTGGGCAGGCAGAATTGCATTGAAAACATACACATTGTTCCTTAGTGTGAAAATATTTTAGGAGGGTATTATGAATATGAGTTTTATATAAAAGCATTTAGCTGTTATAGGCCGTGCACGTACTAGGTTGTGTTGCTAGACAGCCAAATACAGGTAACACATGACTGCAGGGCATGCTGGTTCAAATACAGGTTTAGGGAAGAATCTATCACGATGAGGTCACTTTGAAGTTGTTGTGTGTACATCGAATCTACAAACAAATGAAATGGCTCTCCAAATCGAAAGTCTCAGTTGGGAAATCTGCAAAGTTTGTTATAAACAAGGAGAAAGTTTAAAGTGAAAGATTTCACATTTTACCAACATTCTCCGTCATTCTTTTCACCAATATATGAACCGATCTGATTTCAAGTGAGTTTTTAGAGATGCCATCGGCCAGTACCTATCCCTACACTGTGTTTCCTTTATCTACATTGTCTGCCGATAGCGTACCAGGCACTAAACAAAAATTTGTCACGTAAATACGTGTACTTGTTTTGTGGCAGTATTTGCACATTTTTTTCTCAAAAATCTCACAAATGCAGAACGTAACTTCGCTGTTCATTTACTGTTTAATAACCTATAACAGTACAAACACAAAGCAACTGTTATGCTGAAGTAGTCGCCTAATCGGTAACATGTATACCGGATACAGGCTTTGAGATTTGAAAAGTACAGTGAGTACTACTTAATGACTCCCCTAGGACACATCATAGGGTCTTTTCACGCTCCATAATCACACCCTCAAGAGGCATGATGTGAGAAGCCCTCCACTAATTGAAGTGTCATGACACTGTAAGCTCACCATCAAAAATAAGGACACAAAATGAGTGAGTGAGAAGAAGTCAGTTTTAATTGAGCAACACATCGACGTACATCTATATGCAGATAGTGACATACACTGAGCAAGAGGAGTTATGTAATCAGTATTATTCGCGACCGACTGGAAGCTTGGA